TGCTGCCCTGTTTGCAGGCAGACACTAAGTAACTGCTCCTCTCTCAGCCTAAAAGCTGGCTGTTGAATCTCACTCTGACTATCCTATCTACTTCCAAGACATCACTAGAGAGACACCTTAGGAAGCTGCAGAATTAATAGGCAAAACACTGACCTTTCACCTCTGGGGCCCTCTCCAGGGCCTACAGTGACCAAAATCTGCAGAAGATAGGAAAGGGAAAGGAGACAGAAGGACAAGAAGCTCTGCTCACTACTTCAGCTGCTTTTTGCTGAAAGCAACATTTGTTCTGGCCTTCAGTTCATGTGCAAGGTGCATAAAAACTCAGCACTATTCATAAGCTGAAGAGCAAAACAACAGGCAGAAAGCATTAGTCCTACATTTTAAACTGCACTCTTACATGGTTTGGATTTTTATCACTTACAATGTTGCACTTTTTTGGGTTCAGGAGATGAAGCCCAGTTTGTGCATGCATTTCTCAAAGTGAGGCAAGTGGTGGAGGTCTCCAAGGCATCAATTTCTTGGTTGGCAAGAAAAATCCAGAAGCAAACAGATACAGCAGTCTTCCTAAATCTGCAGACAGATGACTACAGTATAGCACCTCTGCTGCTCTTCACAGCTTATTAAGCAGTCACAGAGTAAAATAAGACTTGCCTGTTTCACTATTGCTATTCAGAATTCTTCACGTAGCAGTGAAGCCATCCAAAATCTTGTCGCCTTTATGCTGCTGTCTGGGAATGTTATGGAGACCAAAGAAAACAGGCACCAGAAGATATTTATAGCAAGAGATATAACATCTCCCCTCAACCCAGGACATTTTTTTTTTTTTTTGCTATTGACTAACAAAGCACTGACACATGGGCACTTGGTCATAACAGAAAACCACACTGATGGCTTTCCCAAACCTGAACCTTCAAATGCAATTGGAAGCTACAGTGCAGAGCATCTTTTATTCCACATGTTCCTTTGCTCCTTTCAAGCCATCAGGCTCATCTCCAGTGATCAGCCAGCTCCTCTCCCTCATTGACGCTCCACAGCTGTGCAAAAAACGAATTAGTTTTTAGTTCAGCTAAACAGAGAATAAAAAAATAAACAAACTGATCTGTCCCCAAATAAACACCATTTTGTCTCCTCAAAACACAGAGGCACCAAGTTTTACTTTGGATGAAAGGAGATGTTCCACTTAGGACAACACAACCCATTTTCTTTTCTTACAAGTGCCTGAAAGAAGCTAGATTTGCACACACAACAGCCATCTCAAGCACAGGTTCCCTTTTTAGCCAATAGCCCAGATGTTGGAATCTGAAGGAAACCCATGCTCCATTTCTCCCGCTGCCTGAAGAGATTCAAGGCCATCTCTTTCACCTTTCAGAAGAGAGCTCTAACCATTCTGGGTACAATAAAGTAGGGCTCTGGCATTTTTTCCTCTACTCTCTAAAAGTAATCAAGCAATTGAGCTTGAAAAGGGCAACTATGCCCTGGAGGTTAGAAAACTCACCTGAAAACAGAAAATATGAGTTGGTATTTTCACTGCTGTAGGAACTAAGTGAAACAGGATCAAAATGAGAGCAAGTGACCCCAGAACACTGTGTAGCCTGCTAGGCATCTTGATTTAAAAGTCAAGGTGATTGACTGAATTGAATTCACTTAAATCAGCAAGCAAGAAACTTATTTAAACCTATTTTATATTTGTTTTGCATTTACACAATTGGTTCCTAATTGGTAACCACAAAAACATGTTGATTTGCAACCATATATAGTCTTTAAAAAAAAACTATATTTGGTACTTTTGTGTTGCTAACAAAGAACACATGCAGTTCTACATCTGAAAACTTATTTCAGTTCTTAAAATTTAACATTTTACGTTAGAAAAAATGAGCAATGGGGTTTTCTTTAAGTTCGGGTTTTTTAACCCACTGTGTTAAGGTACTTTTAGGTAGAAATTGGAATTTGATTATAAAGAAGAAAACTGGCAGTTTTAAATGTTCCTTTTGGGTAAAACTAAATTCTGTGGGCTGCACAGGCAGGTTTATCACTAGAACAATCTTTAATTTAAAACTGATGCATCTGACAGTTTCTGGAGCTACTGTCATGTGCAGTTTGTAAATCAAATGTGTTGCTTCTGGTCATGATGCCCATCAGCTTTTTAGAATGAGTTCATCTCATCTCAACTCTCACCTCCTTTTTGTTCACACTTAGAAAATGGAAGACCGGCTTTCCTGCTTTTCATAGTTCCTAATGGCTTCTCAGTTGTCAATGAGCTAATTACTGAACTGAAATAAGACAAGAGGAGAAAAAAAAACTCCATACCTGCAGGAGCACCTATATATAGCTAACTTGTCACCTCAGACTTGTGATCCAGGCACTTCCTCACTGACTTCTCCCATGCTGGTGACTTGACTTCCTGTGAGACTTCACACTTGTACTTTTTAAACATCATTCATTTCAGTTCAGTTATTTCAAAGAGTTGAGAGTAAGTTCAGGTTTGAGGTTATCCTCAAATTTAAGAGGAAACTGAACTGTGGTCTCCCACATCCTGGGTGAACGCCCTCAACCAACTGGGTAAGATGTTAACATCCCCCTGCTTCCCCAAACTGCTTTCTGAAGTAGTTTTGTGAAACCGGCCCCAAGAAGCTTCTTCCAGCCAAACTTGATGCAGCAACTCCATTTCTGAACTCACAAATAGTTTCAGAGTGATCAAACCTGCATTTGCAACAGATGCATTGTTTGCCAAACAATTCACCAAGCCTCTGCCACTCCCCATTTCTGATCACGGTCCACTCCCATTGAATATGCAACTTCTCTTTGGCAACATGCATTACTGATATGGAAAAGCAACGGTGACCAAATATTTTTAGCTATAACACATTTATCAGCCAGAAACAAGGAAGAGGAGTTAGCATACAGTAACCAGTCAGCTTGAGTGCCTATTCCGTAGCCAAGGGCAAGCTACCCAACTCATCTGTGTGTCGGCAATCTCAGGAAGGGAAGTCACATTCTGAAGACAACAAGATTTGCATGCCCTGGGAAAAGAAGTTCTCGGGTGTGCCTGGGAGCAATTAGATGGAATTTGCTCTTTCTTTAGTTGCACTGTGATGTCATTCAGTTTATGCTGGATACGTGTGGAACTGAATGCTTGTGGCGCTGAGTTCTTTTTAAAGGTGATGCAACTTAGTTTGATTTTTTTTTTTTTTTTTTTTATTAGAAAAGTAATTGAATCTTCTTTCCAGTGATCCTTTTGGTAACAGCAATTTAGACCTACCAAGGAGGAGACCCCTCCTCACACATCCCTTTGAACACACAGGCAATCTAAGGAAAACCCACCCTAATATCAGGCCCACATGAAATGCCCACACAATTCAAAGTGGGATGGAAGCTGGCTGGTCATGAAAGCAGACGCCGTCAGTGGAAACCAGCAGAATTCACGTGCCCAAAGTTTCATGCAGAAGTAATTCACAGCACCTTCTAAGAAGCTTCCACTGCTGACTCTCCCTCGGCAGGTTCAAGCTTCAGCACCAGCTGACTAGCAGATGATTTAAGATACCCAAGATACAAGTCAAATGAGAATGCACTTATACTTCACAGTCAAAGCTTCTAAGCATGCTGTTTGAGGAAGGAGGGAAGTGACAGAAAGCTTAAATCCTCAGAGAGAGGCATGCACATCAGCCGCTGCCACCTCAAAGTGTGATCAGCAGGCTAGCCTAAGGAAGGATAAACAGAGCTAATGAGGCTGGAGAGAGGCCAATCTGCATTACAGCAATTATGTGCCTGGCCAAAAAGTCAGCTAACTTGCAGGAAGCCTGTAAACAACTCTCCATGAGCTGCTGGAACTCACAGCTACCAGCTGCCAAAGGCCTCCTACCCATAGAGGCCTTTAAAGTTTGGCAATGGGATACTAAGCGCAAGATTATGCTCAGCATGTCTGGGCCGGTGAGGAGAAAGGGGGGGGCAGCTACATAAAAATGTGGGATCTGTTGTAATGGACAGCCCCACCCTGGAACTAGGAAAAAAGGAAGGGCAGTTTCCTTTACTGTAAACTCTCATTGTAACAGAACTCGGCCCAGCAGCTTAACTGGGCACGGGAGCCAGTTGAGCACATGGGGCAGTAAGGGAAGCACATGACAGATTATCAACTGGACTAGGTGTTTAGCGCACAACCCACAGCAAGAGAAATTGGCCAACATTTGTTTGCCAACCTTCAGATTAAACTGGACACTGTATTATGGAGTAGTGCAGCACACAGGACTAAATTTTGCTCTTAGTAGGACTGTGCAAACATGAATAAGACCAGGAAAGATTGTATTTGTCACCCAGAAAAGGATATAAGCCTTTCTACCAGCCCAGTATCAAGCATTCATGTAGTTTAATTCACAATCTCAAGTCCAGCTGCTACACTGTTTGAGAGATGCCTCACCTTGCAAGGTCACACAGGGAAAAGCACCTAGACAAGTATAAACCAAAGCCTCTCTCGCAAGCATAATCAAAGGGAGCCCTGGAAAGCCAGAAGCCCAATTTACAGGAGTTCAGAGTACCAGTTGCAGAGATCAGTCTTTGTTCTGTCACCTGGATTAGTCACATCTTATGACCTGCCAGAGCTACAAGCATTTTGGCAGCCCGCTACATTTTTCCCCACCAACCACAGATGATGATCTTTGTCTCAGTGATTTTAGGACATTTTGTTTTTGAAAACAAGACAAAAGATGCCTCTCCTGACATATCTAATCCACCTCTGAAACCACCCTTTGTTTGGATGTTGCCAAAACGAGACTGGGTGAAAGGGAAAAAAAGCAAAGTGAAGGCAAGAAACTCTAGAGATTGAGCAAGAGTTTTCACACAGTTACTATTACCAGCAAAAGCTGCAGGTCCTGTAGCATCCTGAAACAGGCTTCCCAAGAAAGTGCAGTTGGGTGGTATGGCAACTGAATAGCTGACTCATGAAACACAAATTAAA